CAATTATAAAATCTTTTAATTCATTGAAATTAAGCTGAAATTAAACTAAATATACATATTAGATAAAAATTCATTACTATTTAATTATTTTTACAGTTATAAAATTAACTAAAAATTAAACAATTATAAAAAACTAAAGCTGAAATAAAATTGAATATAAATATTATATGAAAAATCATTATTGTTAATTATTCTTACAATTATGCATTATTGTTAACTAAAAAGTAAGCTATTAACAAATCGTTTTTGTTAAAAGATTAAATACAATCACTCTCAGAAAAAAAGGTACAAAAGCTGTCACTGGGGCGGTACCTTTTCAAAAGGCACACCTTTGTACCTAAACAGTCCATATTGGTACCTTAAAGGTACATATTAGTACCTAAAGTGTACATATTAGTACCTAAAAGGTACAAAAGTGTACCTTTTGAAAAGGTACCACCCCAGTGACAGCTTTTGTACCTTTTTTTCTGAGAGTGTATAGATATTAGATGAAAAAATAATTTAAAAAGTAAGTTGCTCATTAGGCATTGAGTCACGTGTCAGATGGTCACATGACATTCACTTTCTGCCCTCTCATTGGTCATCTCTCCATCACTACTCATTTGCATAAAGTTGTATGCATTTATTAAATTTTAGCGCTCAGCGAAACAGAATAATGGGTTATAGCTGCTTAAATTGCCAGAATTAATGATTATTAAAAAGACCAAAAAACTAAATCAGTTTAAAGGGGTCATATGACGTTGCCAAAAAGAACATTATTTTGTGTATTTGGTGTAATGCAATGTGTTTATGCGGTTTAAGATTCAAAAAACACATTATTTTCCACATACTGTACATTATTGTTTCTCCTCTATGCCCCGCCTTTCTGAAACGCGTCGATTTTTATAAAGCTCATCGGTCTGAAAAAGCGAGGTGTGCTGTGATTGGCCAGCTATCCAGAGCGTTGTGATTGGCCGAATACCTCAAGCATGTGACGGAAATGTTACGCCCCTATCATATTGTGATGCCGTGTCCCGGCGCAATGAGACAACACCAATAAAACCAATTATAAACGAGGCATTTGTTGCATCCAGTGGGGACATAATTACTGATTATAATGACTTATACTGTCTTTTTATGCGTTGCGTTGCATCGCGCCGCGTAAACATAAAACCTGCATTTGTGATTGGAGAAATGACAAGCAACAAGCCCTACTCTACACTGCCCAAAAAAACTCGCTTTAAATATATAAAATATAAAAACTCTTTAAAAGACAACACCAATAAAACCAATTATAAACGAGGCATTTGTTGCATCCAGTGGGGACATAATTACTGATTATAATGACTTATACTGTCTTTTTATGCGTTGCGTTGCATCGCGCCGCGTAAACATAAAACCTGCATTTGTGATTGGAGAAATGACAAACAACAAGCGCTACTCTACACTGCCCAAAACTCGCGTTTGAATCGTCAGTGGCAAATTCTTTAAATATAAAAAACGTACTTACAGGCTGTTTATTTACACAGACTGTTTAATACTACTCATGTATATATTTACACAAAAACTGCATAATGTCTTAATAGCCTATGAATTAAAAAAACAGGAACTCATTAAAGGGCAAAGCTGCAATATCATGACAAAATTATTAATTATTACTCTTGATATCGTTTTTTTTGTTGTTGTTTGTTTTTGGCTAAGAACTGTTTATGTACTTTTTTATTGCTTTTTAAGGATTAAAAAATCCAAACTTCACGTTGGTTGTTTTTTTTAAGCTAGCAAAAAAAAAAAAAATCCAGTTATAATCACTGAAGCTGTCTACACTTCACAATCAATCTCTTACTTACATATGTTCTGCAGTTTATTGCTTATGATCATGAGTGAATTGGAGAATGCTGATTCTGTTCTCAGTCAGCGAGGGTGAAGGCTGAACAAACGCCTCTGATTGGCCACTGCGTTCATAAAGTCAACAGAAACGTGTGTGATTGGTTAAAACGCTCAGCGCTGCAATCCGCAGGTAAAAAAAGAAATCTGATGCAACGTGAGCTGATCTACTATAATGACACTTCTCTTTCATTTCACATGTATTTTTGCATGTATGATATACATCAGTTTGACTCGCTTCTCTTCTCTGCTCATTCCTTTAGACGCCGCTGTCTCTTTTCCGCTCTCCGTCTTTGTTTCCTCATGTTCTTCAGTTTGTCCCCCAACATCTGCTGCAGGAGGAACGCCATCTCCTCTGATTTTAGGCCTGAAGAAGAGATTAACTATCCAGTATCCACTACTAGTTCATGTATTTGACCCACGGCTTTCCAAAAGTTGGGTAATGCTAGCTGCTTTATGAAGACAATAGAGGTGTGTGAGTTCCAGATTTGGCATCTGATGAAGATGAGGGCGATGGAAACGTCTCAAGAGCTTAGCTCATTATAAATGCCTCACCTTGAGCCAAGGACGAACAGCTATTGTCTTCATGCATAATACTGCTGATTATTCAATTAGTGTCAATTCATTTTATTAACAGAAACGATATACAATTTTGTCCAAAAGTCTGAGACAACTAGTGAGAAATGCTTTTTTTGCATGCTTTTCTAATATAATACATGTTTTTAATTATTGAAAAGTTGAAACATGAACATAAAGCTGTTATTGTTAACAAAAATTAAAATGAATAAATATATGAAAATGATTGTTTAGTAAATAATTTTTTACTATTATACACTTTTGAACTAAAACTATTTTTTTGTTAATTGCAATGAGGATGAAATAAAATATTAGGTAAAAATAATTATTATTTCGGCCTAGTTAATTATATTACAGTTATTTAATAGTTGTTAACAAAAAATGTAACTATTAACAAATTCACTATTATTGTTTTTTGTTAATTGAAATGAGAAATAATTCAAATTAAATACAAATATTAGATTAAAAAGTTAAACTAAAAATATTATTAGGCTCTATTATTCAAAATATGAATACAAACTCTAACAGTTTCTCTAAGATACTAAAATAACCCTGTTTATTTTTACATGTAGGCCTATAATATATAAAAATTACCACAGCAAATGAAGTAGATAATGCAGATCATTTTTAGATCATTTTAATTGTTTGTTTTTTTTATTAACCTTTTACTTCTGTTATTATGGCACTGTGATATAGTGATTTTTTAATCACATTCTGAAATGTAATTAGGTGTTTTAAAGCAGCACTACGTAACTTTTGGTTCTCTAGCGGTTAATAAACAGAACTGCACACATCCCGCGGAAGAACATTCCAACCGGAGCTACTTCTCTAAGTTTATGTCTCAGGCGATTCACGCAGGTATGTGTTCCTCCGCAGCGGTGACCAGGCTACAATAGTCCAAATATAAGTACTTGTTATAAGTGTACCGTAGTGATTCGGAATAAGACAAAAACGCAGTTTGGAAGATTAATTCATGATGTACTCGCTCATTATATACATTTAGCATATTTTGAACACAGAAAAAGTTACATAGTGCTGCTTTAATTAAAGTAAACTCTGGCACATCTTGCCCCGCTGTTCTCTATGTGAAGTGTGCCCACACATATAAAGTCGAAACACTGAATTCTTTTATTTTCTCTCAGATCAAGTTCTTCTGTCTTGCTGCCTGTTGACAGGAGCCTCATGGAGGTTTGTTCAATCTTTAGTGAAGTACAGCTCTGAAATCTACATTTCAACAGTTCAACATCACTCTAAAGAAAAAACAGCACTTATGTAGCATAAGGAATTCTTTATTACATTAATTTAGAATGTTTTATTACTATTTGAACCATTTTGGCATTAATGTTCACAGCTGTTCTTCTGGTTCACATGTATATGGTGATGCATCTGTTTAATATTGCAATAAATCATTTTGATATTTTAGAATGCTGCATGTATTTTGTGAAATATGAGAGGATGAAATACAGAAGGAAAGCATTCCACACATGGCTGGCCGTCCTGAATGATTGAGTGCGTTTTAATGGATGCTCAGTGTTTGTCCCGACAGAAAACCCCAGGCTCCGTCTCAAACACACAGCATCTCTCTAGATTCACTCTCGTCCATTACAAAGTCGTCTCTGTGATTGACAAAACAATTTGAGGACAAATTTTAAAAGACTTTATGATGTTTATAGCTGTATACATTCAACAGACTGAGTCTGAGTCAGTACAGAAGAGCACATCAACCCCCCCGAGCGCTTTAAATGCTGGGTGGATGTTTTGATTTTTTTTTTTTATTATTTATTTATTTTTCCCAAGATGGCCTTGCAAAGTCAATTCCCAAATTGCTTTATTATTCAATAATAATAATAACGGTGGTTATTATTATTATTATTATTATTATTATTAATAATAATAATATAATTATTATTGTTATTTAATTAAAATATAACTGTTGTTAATCATAATAATAATTGTTTTAATAATTATTACTGTGCTTATAATAATAATTGTTATAGTATTGTAATTGTAATAGTAAATAACTTATATGAATTATTATTATTAATATATTAATACATTTAATTAGAATATTATATTATATTTTTAATAATTGTAATGATTATATCAACAACAACAACTAGCATAATAATAATAATAAATATTATTAGAAATAATAAAAAATGTGTTTTGCTGGTTACAAGTAGTTGCATTTTCCAGATTTTTTGGCCTGTATAGACTGCAAATGTGATATTTCATGTAGCGAGCACGTATGCACCAGCACAAAACCTGTGAGCACAAGCCTCCTGAGTACTAAACAGATGACATCATCACACAGAGCCTCAGCCAATCAGAGCGCAGCAGGAAACACAGGGGATGGAGAGACAGGGATGCAGTTGCTAGGGAACAGAGGAGACGTCCATCTTTTGCAGCTTGTTCCAGATACAGCAAGGTTGGGAAAGGTTTGCCTTTCGTAAAGGAGGGAAATAAATGCACCATATAAAAGAGAGAAGGACGGAACGCTAGGTGATGTGACGTGATCTGGAGCGGGATTATGTGCTGGTCTGGCATGAATTATCAAACACATCTGATAGCTGCTCAACAGGAATCTGTGCGTTGTTGTTTCTGGATGGTGATGGCCATGCACAGATCCTGAGACGCCCCTCTTTGTCTGAGCATCCACAGACGGGACGGGCTTCACCCGACAGACAGACAGAGAGACAGATCTGATGGATTCAGTGGAGAGCTGAGAAATCAACAGGCCTGAAGCTGAAACACACACACACACAGAGAGAGAGAGAGAAACCAACGCCTGCCCAGAGAAACTCCTTCTGTTGTGAGTGTTTGACCACATGAGCAGCCCGCTTTCAGTCCACAGAGTGACGTAAACGGGACGTTCAGGGAGATAAATCTAGATTTTTCAGTGTAGAATTGATTCTGAAGGGAGTTTGTATTTGACAGGTGGATGGATGGAGGGTTAAATAAGTGATGACAAACGAAAATTAGTGTTTCAGATCTGCAGCAGGTTAATACAATTTGATAAAAGATGACTAATATATATATGTGTCTGTGTATGTGTATGATGCACCGGTGGTATTTTTGTGTTACTGAGATACTTTTAGGTTCCTTTTTTTTTTGCATTTTCCATTTTCATTTTCATTTTAGTTCAAGTTTTAGTTAAGCTTTGTTGTGTGTCTTTGTGATTTTTATTTGTTTGTTTGTTTGTTTTTATATATATGTCTATATAGTTGTCATTATTTCTTAAGCTTGAGTTATTTTAGTACATCCGTTTCAACTAAATGAAAATGGGAAAAGTTTGAAATTAGTTAATTTTATTTTTTTTTTTTAATTAGTTTTTATTTTTGTATTTTCCATTTTTAATTTTAGTTAAAGTTGTAGTAATTTTGTTGTTTTTGTCATTTTTTAAAAATACGTCTGTATATTTTTTATACATTTTAGTTATTTTAGTAAATCAGTTTAAACTAAATGAAAATAGGAAATGTTGCTTTGGCATCTGCTTTTTTAGTTTTAGTGTTTTAGTAATTTTGTTGCGTGTTTTTGTTATTTTAATTATTTATTGTTTTATTTATTTTTTATTTTTTATTATATACTGTATTTATTGTAGTGTTTATTTTTTATGTCTACTGAATATCATTTTTATTGTATTTTATTTTTGTGTTAGTTTTAATTATTTTAGGGGTTTTTTTGTATTTAAGATAAATGAAAATAAGACCAGGAACATGTATTATGGAAGTAGAAAGTCAGTTTTGAAGTCATGTTGACTCTGATTTGATGTTCAGGAAGAGTGATGCAACCATAAACACAACATCTCTATTACTCAAAATCCTTCAATCGAAATATGAAGCTTTGGCATGGAACTCATCCCACATTCATTCCTCAAATCGTGTGACTTGTTGAGGAGAGTGACGTACATCATTAGCTCATTGAAGAGAAATAATCTGTATTTTTGTCTATATAGGCACTTGTAAATGTGCTGATCTTGTGTGATCGGGAGCAGAGGATGGGAACCACTGAAGCCACTCTACGCATGGAGAACATGGAGGTGAAAGATGAGTGGCAAGATGACGATTTCCCACGGTAAGACCTGACTGACCTTCAACTGATTGAGACTGAGAAATAAACACTGATTCAGTGCTCAGAATAACACTACCATACTATTTCTGCAGTATGCATGCTTGTGCACAGTATGTGAATCTTCTATATGCACAGAATATGACCTACAACATTTGCCAAATGTGCAGTTTGCAGTGCATGAGATACTGTATCCCACAATGTATTGTGCTCGACTTCAAATGCAACATAGAGAGGTTGAAATTGTAGCATTTTTGCATACTTTTTGACATAAATAAGAGCTAAATTTAATGTGGATCATATTGAGATCTGACTTTTGACTGTTTGCTACTGTAATGCTGAAAATGTTTGATTATTATTAATGTTGAAAACAGTGCTGCTTCATATTTTGTGGAAATTGTGACACACTGCTTGGGCCAGTATTTAAATTTTTTTACAGAAATTAATACTTTTATTCCGCAAGGATGCATTAAATTGATCAAAAGTGACAGTAAAGACATTTATAATGTTACAAAAGATTTGTTTCAAATAAATGCTGTTCTCTTGAACTCTCTATTCATCTTTGAATCCTGCAAAATAAAACGTATCACAGTTTCCACAAAAATATTCAAAGTTTTCAACATTGATAATAATCAGAAATGTTTCTTGAGCAGCAAATCAGCAGATTAGAATGATTTCTGAAGATCACGTGACACTGAAGACTGGAGTAATGATGCTGAAAATACAGCTGCGCATCACAGAAATAAATTACATTTTACTATATATTCACATGGAAAACAGCTATTTTAAATTAGAATAATATTTCACATTTTTACTGTATATTTAATTACATAAATGCAGCCTTGGTGAGCAGAAGAGACTCTTTCAAAAAGCAATTTATTTAACTTTTGACTGGTAGTATACACAATCAGTACTGCTATTGATCTGTATATTGATACTATTTAGTTATAATGATTTATTTTTACTTGCTAATAAGCAGATCTGTGCCTCAGCTATATGACACCAGGCATGTAAACATGTACAGCACCCATGGGGCTTGTTGGCGAGTTATTTTCATCCACAGCGCAGACGTCTTTGATTTCTGATCGATAATGTCAGATCAATATTAGAGCTCAGAGCGAGTGGAGCTGAGGATGTGTTATCTAGCTGCGCATGAAGGAGAAATGAAGGTGAATCGTGGCATAAACAGTCCAGAAGCAGCATGTGGGTCAACATACAGTACATGAAGACATAAAGAGCACAGCCTTACATCATAATGCATTACCATTTATGGGCAAATATGAGGTCATCAGTGTTGCCATGACAATGAGGCTAGTAAGAGACACAGAGTGCTGAATAATTGATTCTGCACTAGTGCACATTATCACATAAACCCACGCTGAACAAAATCTTGCTGAATTAGGTTTTTAATTATCATGTACTGTACTGTAATGTAATCATGTAATGTAACCTTCCCTCTGAAAAATCTGCTTCGGATAGCTTTTGATAATTTTGCATTAAAAGCTTTTACTCACGGTTTCTGATGAAATAATCCTAAATCACCACGGCACAGTAATTATATCCTGTGGTAATATCATAATACTTTTTTATGTACTACACTGTAAAAAAGTATGTTGTCAAGTAATCTATAAACGCTTCATGCGGTAAGTATTTATTTATTTAAATAAATAAATTATTTGATTAATTGCTATTTTTACTTATTATTTTATTATTATTATTATTATTATTATTCATTCATTTTTATTATTTAAATAAATGCTTCACATGGTAACTGTTTTTATGGAATTTAATATGTATTAATATTAATCAATAACAATATTTAAATAATTGTAGCAACTGGTTTTATTAATATATTTATTCATAACATTAATAAATAATATTAATAGAATGTGTGTATGTATGTACAGTATGTATATATATATAATGTGTGTGTGTGTGTGTGTGTGTGTGTGTGTGTGTGTGTGTGTGTATATATATATATATCAGTAATAATATTTAAATACATGCTGCATGTAGTAATTTTTTGTGCAATATAATATTTAACAATTTAATTAATTTTAATAAGTCTGACTACATTACATTATAAAAAAACAAAGTAATTTTAAGGCTCAGATCAGTTAAGATCCTTAAAGTAACAACTGCATGCTTTTATTTTAGCTTTCAGTGTACTGACAGATTACCATTTTAATATACCATATATAAAGATATTTGAAACAATATCATACTACAATAGTGCATGTGCAAAAAATGGTACCTTTTATATCAGAGTCACACACATTAAAACTAACTTCATGATAATGGTTTACACAGATAAGCATCCTATCGCTGAACTGTCTGAACTGAGTTCTGTAACCCTAATTATTGCACTGTGCTCTCTTATTAACTAGCGCGTCCCCTGACGGCGCACAGACTGCTGGGTAATCACTGACTGTAGTCAGCATGAGATACACAAACACAGCTGATCATAATGTCAGAGAATGATGGGTTAATTGTGTCCTTCGCTCGTGCTAGAACATATATTTATCACAGACACTTGAGGAGATGCATGACTCTTTTCACTTGACTAGTATAAGCAACCACTTAAAAACACCCTAGCAACCACCATTAATAACCTAGCAACACTAGCAATAAAACAATGCATTAAATAACTCAGCACCCAGTTAAGGCCAGTTATTACTGTGGTTCACTAAATGAAAGTGTGGTGTGATGAGTGGCTCTATAATGACTAAGGAATGTGCAGTTGTGTGTATTTTGGTGTCGTGGTCGTCTGTAGAATTTCTCTGTGTTGGTTTCCAGGCCTCTTCCTGAAGACGGTGATTTAGACGGACTCACTGACAACACTGGTAAGTTTATATAAGTTCATCTTTTATTAGCTGAAGAAGGAACGGTTCAAGTTGAAAGTGGCACTGCAGTGTTGTTACATTGACTAAAACTGAAAATATTTATAAATAATTTTATATTTAATTATTAAATAATTATTATATGTATTTTCTATTTTTGAAAGTATTATCAGTTAACGTATAAATATAGGAAAATAAATAAAAAACTGACAAAAACACAAAATCATTAAGTTAACATATAAATGAAGCAAAAACACAAAATTACTTAAACTCTAAATATTTTAAAATTATTATTATTATTTTATACTTATCAAAACAAACTTAAAATCTGACAAAAACAAAATTACTGAAAGTATAAATATTTAAAAATGCTTCTTTTATATTTATTATTAGTTAATTATTAGTTAATAAATAAACATTAACTGAAATCAAATAAAATATTTAAAAACTTCAACTTATTTTATTTCAATTAGTTGCCAGAGCAAAATTTTTTCGATAAAATTTCATTACAAATCATAATCATAATATTTCAAAATAAATTTCATAACATCATTTTCATTTAATTGAAATATCACTCTGAATAAAACTAAAATGAAAAATAATAAAAACTAAACAGATATTTAAAACAGGAAAACAAACTAATAAAACTAACAAAAAACAATGACAAAATCACTAAAACTTAAACTAAAATTTAAATGAAGATGCAAAACAAAAAATAAAAACTAACTGAAAGTATGAATACTATAATAGTATATTAATGATATAAAAAAATTCACTTGAAGAGTGAAGAGTGGTTGAAGGAATTTTGTCAAGTTGTCAGAAAGTGTGAGGGTTTCTTTTTTAGACGTCTGACAGCTTCTTTTTATAAATGTGTTTCATTTTCTCGGCTTCTTTTATAAACGTGTGTGATTTCAGCTCATCGTGCCGCTCTGACGGCGGATCACACGGAATCAGTCCGACAGAAGCGCCGCACGCTGATCGCTCCGGATATCAACCTGTCGCTGGATAAAAGCGAGGGTTCGCTGCTTTCTGACGACTTCCTGGAAACTCCAGACGACCTGGACATAAACGTGGACGACATCGACACGCCAGACGACGACTCGCTCGGCTCCCTCAACAACGCCAACGAGCTGGAATGGGAAGGTCAGAGGTCAAAGGTCGTGAGGCTTCGACTGGAAAACAGGGTGCATTACAGAAGGAGTCTGATCTGCAGATTAAAAGCAGACTGTGTTGTTTTTCAGACGACACTCCGGTGGCCAGTGCGAAGGGTGCAGGCGGCGAGGGGGGCGACGGTGCGGGCCGTCTGTGGAGGACGGTGATCATCGGAGATCAGGAGCACAGGATAGACATGCAGGTCATCAGGCCGTACCTGCGCGTCGTCACGCATGGAGGTCAGTCGACGATATCAATTAACATTTGATATGACACAGATAGAACTTTCTCTTGTATATGTGACCCTGGAGCACAAAACCAGTCATACGGGTCAATTTTTTGAAATTGAGATTTATACATCACCTGAAAGCTGGATAAATTAGCTGATGTTATGATAGGACGATATTTGGCTGAGATACAACTATTTAAAAATTGGAATGAGAGGGTGCAAAAAAATCTAAATATTGAGAAAATCATCTTTAAAGTTGTCCGAATGAAGTCCTTAGCCATGCATATTACTAATCAAAAATTAAGTTTTGATATATTTACGGTAGGAAATTTACTAAATATCTTCATGGAACATGATTTTTACTTAATATCTTGATGATTTTTGGCATAAAGATTCCAGATTTTCAAATAGTCGTATCTCGACCAAATATTGTCCTATCCTAACAAACCATACATCAATGGAAAGCTTATTTATTCATCTTTCAGATGATGTATAAATCTCAATTTCGAGAAATTGACCCTTATGACTGGTTTTATGGCCCAGGGTCACATATATAAAAATATATATAGTTTACACACGGCGGTAATAGACATTTTGTTGGCTTTTGTTTTTAATTAATTTATATTTCTTCAAACATACACTTCTATTCATCAACTTATTATTGATTATTGATGCTGTTTCCTAGTTTAAGGGATTTAAACCCGTGTTATTTTCATATCATTAAGATACTATTATATTTGTATTAATATTTTGAATTAGCTTTTGTTTTTATATTTTCTGTTTTCGTTTTATTTTACCTAAAGTTTTAGTCATTTTTTATTAGGTTTTTTTAATGTAGTTTTATTGATTTTTATTTCAGTTTTAGTTATTTTGGTTTTAGCTAAACTAAATGAAAATGAGAATTTTTGCCTGGCAAACATATTGAAATATAATAAGTTTAAGGGTTTTTTATATTTTATTTTATTTCAGTTAAAGTTTATTTTATTTCATTTATTTTATAAATGGTTTTAGCTTTTGTTTTAACTAATAATAACTCTAATTTGAACAAACCCCTTAACACTAAATGAAACTTTGCTGTGTAACTCATCACACACCTTACATACAAAAACATAATATTATCACAACAAGGTCATTTATATCTTAACGTACAATAGCAAAAACAGCTTGTTTAATTGTAAAGGATGGAAAATAGATATGAAACCTGAATGACAAATGTTTCTTGTTTGTTAGCACATTGCATGTGGACTCAAGGGGAAATACAGCACATTGTGTTCCAAGGCAGTTTTACACAAGCAGAGGGATCAGTGAATATGGACACCGCTAAGCTTGACTCGAAACACTCTGTCTGTTCCTGTTTCTGTTCACAGGTTATTACGGTGAAGGACTGAATGCCATCATCGTGTTTGCTGCCTGCTATCTGCCCGACAGCGGCTGCGCAGACTACAGTTACATCATGGAGAACCTCTTTCTGTAAGACAGTTTTAGTTGTCTTAGTACATTAAGTTCAACTAAATTAAAATGAGAAATGTTGCCATGGCATGTAGTTCATATAAAAGTTTCTTTTGTATTTTATTTCAGTTAAAGTTTATTTTCTTTTTTTAAGTAATATCAGTTGTTTAATTTTAGTTTTAATTTTAGATAACTATAATAACCCTGTTATACATACACTACCATTCAAAAGTAAGTAGAAATGTATACTTTTATTCAAAAAAGGATGCATTAAATTGATCAAAAGTGATGATAAACACATTTGGAATGTTATAAAAGATTTCTATTTCAAATAAATGCGGTTCTTTTGAACTTTATATTCAGCAAAGAATCCTGAAAAATAAAATGTATCTCAGTTTCCACAAAAATATCGGGCAGCACAACTGTTTTCAACATTGATAATAATCAGAAATGTTTCTTGAGCAGCAAATCAGCATATTAGAATGATTTCTGAAGATCATGTGACACTGAAGACTGAAGTAATGATGCTGAAAATTCAGCTGCGCATCACAGAAATAAATTACATTTTACTATATATTCAAATAATAAACAATTATTATAAATTGTAAATATATTTCACAATATTACTGTTTTTACTGTATTTTTAGTCAAATAAATTCAGCCTTGGTGAGCAGAAGAGGCTTTTGAACGGAGACCCTGTTTTACTACAGACAAATGCAGATATTTTACAGGTTTGCACTATGGATATTTCATCTGAATGCTTTATTGTATTGTCTCTGCAGGTATGTGATCAGTAGTTTGGAGCTGCTGGTAGCTGAAGACTACATGATCATCTATCTGAACGGAGCCACGCCGCGCAGGAGGATGCCGGGCATCAGCTGGCTCAAGAGATGCTACCAGATGATCGAAAGACGGTACAGATCAGCTGATCATTTAATGAAACACAGATGAGAACGTCTAGGTTACGTATGTAACCATGGTTCCCCGAGGGAACGAGACGCTAAATCCGCCCGCGATCTCCACGACAACAGTCTACGCTGTGCCTCGGCAACAGCGGGAGCGCTGCCAGCGAGATCGCGAGCCTGGCCGCTCTCATCAAACACAGCCAGGCGAGAACGGAGCATACGCAGCGAGAGTAACTCGCAGTGATGACAATCAGCTCCTCGAAAGCTGACCGGACTTCGACGCAACTCGAGTTCCTGAAGGGGAACCCATATGTGACCCTGGAGCACAAAACCAGTCGGGGATATTTGTAGCAAAAGCCAAAAATACATTGTATGGGTCAAAATGATAAATTTTTGACAGTAAGAAAAGATCATGTTCCATGAAGATATTTTGTAAATTTCCTACCGTAAATATATCAACATTTAATTTTTGATTAGTAATATGCATTGCTAAGAACTTCATTTGGACAAGTTTAAAGGCGATTTTCTCAATATTGTGATTTTTTTGCACCCTCAGATTCCAGATTTTCAAATAGTTGTAACTCATACCATACATCAGTAGAAAGCTTATTTATTTGAGCTTATTTACTTATGTATAGATCTCAATTTTAAAAAATTGACTCTTATGACTGGTTTTGTGGTCACATATGAAAAACAAAAATCCTTTGTGTTTATACTTTGTGAGATGGGACACTGATGCTAGTTAGGACCGATTTTGGTGTGGGATTTCACATGAATTCTGTTCATTTTATTCCATTAACGTCCAGGTTAAGAAAGAATCTCAAATGTCTGATCATCGCGCATCCCTCCTGGTTCATCCGGACAGTTCTGGCCATCTCACGGCCCTTCATCAGGTCAAGGAAACACTGAACATCACATAAAAACCCTCAACAGTGTGTAGAATGTGTTTTAATACACTTGAATTCCTCTGCAGTGTGAAATTCATGGAAAAGATCCGGTACGTCCAGAGTCTGGAGGAACTGGCTCAGATTGTTCCCATGGAGCATGTGCAGATTCCCGAGTGTGTGCTGCAGTAAGTGCCCTCCACCAGCACGAGGAGACACACGGATGTCTTATGAGAGAACTTCATTTGTACACGCAAACTAAAACACATCAGGGCAGGATTGAGTTTGGTTAAAGCTGTATGCAGAAATTGACATTGCACATTAACATGGTATCACTATGTTGCATATTTAACCCTGTAAAGCCTGACATATGAAGTAATAGTCCGAAAAAATCACTTTTTTTAAATGGAAAAGTTTATTGAACCTTTAGACAGAATATCTGTATCATTTTTGATACATCAGGCTTTTATGGCTCATATAGTATGATATAGTCTGTTTTATTCAGAGACTCAAACTGAGCAAAAATATGCAATTTGGTGCAGATACTGATATTTATATGGAAGTGATGAAATTCTGATGCTAATTGTAAATTTAAATCAATAAGATCTTTATAACAGATACTGACATAAAATGATACAAATATCAGTCGTCACTCTATATCTGTGACTGCCAATAATGTGTCTTAGTAAGATGAGATTTACATGATCCAAACATACAATGCAATGCAATGAACAAACGTTCCTCAAAAGCCCAATGATGATCATATTTGAGACTCACATTTGAACATGATTTTATGGACAATCAAGAAAAGTGAAGCTGTTCATCTTGAAATATTAATAGTTATTCGTACGTTTACTTAGTAAGATTTGACAGCAAAAAGGCCTGCAAAGCACGAGCTGAAGGAGGACGTTTGTACAATTGTACTAAAAGTGCTTTTACTTGATAAAACAACTATCAATCAGACGACAAAAGGCATGGAGTAGATTGTGTGCGACAGGTTTAACTGCAAAGTTAGAAACTAGAAATGTATTTATAGGGTTAAAATATGAATAACATAATAACACAGCACACATACTGCATACTGTAAAAATAGGAGTATCAGGGCAGATCTGAACACAGTCGTAGATTTCTCTGTTGAAGGTGTGAGGTTTTAGAAATGCACAGTGTTTGTAATGCGATAACAGAGTTTGCGTTCTCTTCTTTCTGCAGATGTGACGAGGAGCGAATCAAAGCGCAGAGAGAAAGGTAAAACCGCAGGGGGTTGTGGGATGGTATGGCGTTACGTGATCTGAGTACTCTGGCCTTTACATGATTCAGATGTTAAACAGGCAGCAGGAGAGTTGCTCTCTATA